TTTTTCCGCCGGGATTACAAAATCTATTATATTTTAAGACAGCACCAAAATATTTCGGAAAAATATTAAGATTTAAGCGAGCTGGACCGATTTGAAAATACCTCCAAAAATTGAGGTTTTTATGAATAAAAATAGTTTCTTAAAGAAATTTTTGGAAAAAGTCCCCTCAGATGATAAAACAAATTAGGCTTAAAAATTCTGCATAAAAATATTTAAAAATCTTATCAACGGAATCGTAGTAATGGGATTTTAGATGCTGTTTTTTTACTTTTTTCAAAGATTGATTTACGAAAAACTTAAATAACTGGGCCAAAACTATTCTCATTTAGACTTATGGGATCTCGGTAGAAAGGTATTTTCCCACTATTTTTATTTATGTACAAAAAAGTCATTCGTGTCCCAATATTTTTTTTTAAATACCAACACATCTTAATTCAACTTTGCATGATATTCGTTCATCCTACCTTTCTCTTTCATCATTTGAATGAGTTTATTAACAAAGAAATAAAGAGGGTGAGAAAATACCTTTCCAATGATATCTCACAAGTCTAAATCGGGAGAGTTTAAGCTCAGTTATTCAAGTATTTCTTATACCAATCTTTGAAAAAAGTTAAAAACAGCATCAAAAATCTCATTATTACGATTTCGTTAAAAATTTTTTTTTAAATTTTTTAAAAATATTTTTATGCAAATTTTTTAAGCTTAAACCGTTTTATCATTTGAGGAGATTTTTCAAAAAAAAAAATCTTTAAGAAACTATTTTTATTCATAAAAAACTCCATTTTTGGAGGTATTATCAAATCGGTCCAGCTCACTTAAATCTTAATATTTTTTCGAAATATTTTGGTGGACGTCTTAAAATATAATAGATTTTATAATTCCAATGGAAAAACAGTACCGATTTTTTTTTTGTATGGGGAGTGATGCAGTCTAATGTACATGTATGTCGATTTCCAGCCCTTTTCAGCGTCCTCTCTACATGTTGGTACCAGCATCGTGGGAATGCTAGAGGTGAGTGAGAAGATAATTTAATACACACCTACTTACGTACATATATACATATATATACATACGTATATAATATATATATTTTGTTTTGGTTACTGCGTTCCATAGTGCTAAATACTACGGCTATTCTTCTTTTGCATATACATACGGAAGTACATATGCGTATGTTCATTAAAGCGCTAGAAATATTGAAATAGGGGCATTCACATAAGCATATTAAATCAAGAAAATAGAAGAGAAATTGCAATTGACTACATTCTGAAGTATTTAGCCCGCGTTTGAAGTCATTTTTAATTTAGTTAAATATTATTTTTAATTGTTTATTTATTCCATCCCGCTTTATTAGCATAGCGAACTTGTATTTTTTTTCCCTCAATCTGGCTTATTTGGTGATTAATGAAATAGTGTTTATGATTGGATTCTGCGTTTATACATATCTGCACATATATCAATCTTTTTAAGTTTTTTGAGAATTTTTGTAATTAGCGTAACTTTGTTGAGAGTTTTGCCATATGAATTTTGATAGGCGAAATCAATTGTTTTTGAATTCTTGAATTTCCTTAGATGTAATAGAGTAGGTAGACATAGGATTAAAGATTTTATTGTGAATATTTAGAAATAAATCGTAACTATAAAATAAAAACAAGAGGAGAGTCAATGAATTTACCTGTAATTTTATTGCTATCCAGTTGAGAGGTTAAAGAGTCCTAAAATGGGATGGTAAACCTATACAGTTTGGTGTGGGTGTTACACTCAGGCCTAAGAGGGGACATTGACAGATTGACAAGACAGGTACAGGACTGATGAATTAGTGGACAGACATACAAGGTCAGGACTAGGGGGCGTTGCAACGTTAATAGGAGTCGACGCAACGCCCATGGCTGCGTATGCGAGGCACGCAGAGGGGGTGGGACGACTCCACCTGACTGGACAGGCCTTCTTCTTTAGCTATCACGTTTTTTTTTTGTTTATGTCATTTCTCACTGCAAAGTACAAACAGGCATGATTTTTTTTGTTTATGTAGGAGTAGGTAAGGTGCGCGGAAACAACCCCACCGTACGGCGAGCTAGCCTGGGCCCGCAACCATGCCTGGAAACCGCCACGCCTTTGCCAACAGTCATCCC